AGCACTGCTTCAAATCTGAACTTCCGCTTCCTTTCAAATCTCGTAAAAACTCTTCAATTTCGCTTGCTCTAGAAATGAGGAACTTGAATGCTTGATGGATTATTCGTTCAACTAGGAATCTTTCCTGAGAAAGAAGCGTTTGTCAACACTGGTAAATCAGGTGTCTCGGCATCCAAAAACCGTGATATTTTATTTTTTCAATGACGAACAAATTGCATGTGAACGTACGTTTTCCTTGTTGATTTTCCCTTCACGGTTTGTACCAAGCTCCGAAGTGTTTTTGCAATGAAACCAAACGGAGTGAGCTCGTCGTTCGCGGTTTTCAGTTTATACGAGAGTTTTGAACGTACGACAGATCGCTTGTAACGTGTCATGAAAGCACCAATCCAACGATTGAATGGTGTTTGTGGTTTGTGTTGTGCTCGTGAAGAGGACGGCTTAGATTTCGAGTCGGTTCTGCTTGAATCCGCTTCATTGCGCACTGCCATTCCCGAAACGCCGATCGCATCCTCATGCGGAACCCATTTTTGCCAGAACATTCGCTTTTGTTGTATTGAATTCAGCGCACAGATCCTTTTTATCTTATGCGCTGAAATGCACTCATACGTGATATATGCACAATCCTTGTAATGCAATTCGCTCAGCCCTCACAAAGTTCCTTCTTCAGAAACGTTGCGATAAAGAAAACTTCAACAAATAGTGTGTCTGTTATTTTTACACAGTCTTGTGCAGTTCCTGACTGAATCGAGTTGCTCATTATTCTATAGCTTGAATGTATAATATGAACGGAATGTGAAGTGAAATATAATATTAATCAAAAATAGGCATTCTCGTGTGACATTCTCAGTGAAATATCCGGATGAAAAGTATGGAATATTGCTGATTCCAACTTTTGAAAGGATCATTTTCATCTTCTAACTAGCTTTATGAAGTCACGGAAAAGAGAAGTTCGTCCGAAGTTTTCAAGCTGATTACATCCAGAATAGATGTCGCTAAAAATTACTGGCTAACCACGTAGTGGTAGAAGTCGTTTTGCTTCCACAGCTTCCATCACATCATTCACGCATTTCGAATGTTTATAAATGGTATCTGCTTTCTGAGAGCAACTGTAGAATCTGCGTTTGTGATATTCGTTCAGCTTTTGAGCCCTGAAAAGCGTTTCATATGAACTTCTTGTTGACGCATCGGTTCGAGAACAAGGCTTCTTATGAGGGACTAAAGGAATTAGTCCGATCTCGTGAATATAAACAATTAAAGTTGGTCAACCTAATGCAGTTCCTGAACGCTTTCGGTATGATTCGGAGATGGGATTTTTGAGAGCGAATGCACCCAGTTGTGAATAGTTACTGGTCTCGTGATGGATGCAATCAAGGAAGCCTATGATGTTTTCAGCGCAAAAGAATATGGAAATGTGAGTGCGTTGAAGACGGA